TAGGGGAACGTTAGTTAACTTGTGTCGAGTCTAATATAAGGAAGGAATTTTTTTTTAACAATCAATCGACCTAGATGAACCTTTTTTCTTGAAGACGGAGAATTTTTCTTGAGGAAGGAAAATATTGTTCCTGCATAAAAAATGAGAAGGCGGTACATATACTAAAAATTGGAACGATACAGAGAAGATTAGCATGGCCCCTGCGCAAGGATGACACGCAAAATCGTAAAGCGTTCCACATTTTCAGTATATGTACTCGCTTCGGCGATACATATACTATTTATGAGTATATCTGTACTTGTATTAACACCAAATAAAATATTCTATTCTATTCTAACCTAACCTAACCGAACCTCACCTTTGGCCTAAACATAGAAAACCCCTAAATGAACCTATTTCCCATAGAGAATATTTTTTAGAAATCACTTGAGAACAAGAAAAAAATAAAAAAAAGATGAGCCTCGCACGGATTCGAACCCCGGCCCGCCGGCTTGGCATGCCGATGCTCTGCTTACTGAGCCAACCAGTTGCTTACGAAACGAAGTGTGATGAAGTCATTCAGACTAGCGTCTAGCGCAAGGAATTATTAGTATAAACAACGTAGTGGGAGAACCGCGCCAAGCCAGACGCGGACGCGGGCAAACATCAACTGTGCCCATCACCTATAGCGACGCGCGGCTGATAATAAGACTAGTTATAATGGCAAGTAAGTTGATATATTGTCAGTATATTTGTGGTATCGTAATGGTATAACCCATAATCAGTGATAGAATAATGTACAGAATGTATTATTCCATTTGAAAATCCAAAATTGGTAGATGGTCAGAATGACGTGGTCATCGCAGAGAGTATCTGGAGAAAATGTGAAGTTCTATATATATATATATATATACACCTCATATACAGGGTGGCCCACGAGGTTTTGGCCAGTCGATATCTCGAAAACTATTTGAACTACTATTTTGAATTTTTGTGGTTTTGAACAATGGAATGCGGTGACCATTTTTGGTATAAGAGGGTTTTATTGCAACATCGCATTTCCAATCACGTGATATCAACTTCAAAATTTTAAATGGAACACCCTGTATATTATTGCATTTTTGTTAAGACCTTTCTAATGCAAATACTACGATACCATCATTGTTAGGGTTTTCATGTGAAACGGTGACAATATAAGCTGTCAAATGAATGGAAAATGGAAAATTTATTGAAGAACAACAGTATAATTAGGAAACGAAACAAAATAAGTAGAAAAAGCATTACAAAAATATCAAAAATGAACACCACATTCCACTGTTTAAAACCACCAAATTTCAAAATTTTAGTTCAAATAGTTTCCAAGATATCGACTGGCCAAAACCTCGTGGGCCACCCAGTATATCTCCGAAAAAGGTAAAAAAATATACAGAATAGCTACATGTACATATTTTATGTATATTTGAAAAATGGAAACACGAAAATATAATCAAAAGTAGTTGCAAAATATACAAGGTGTTCGATTCACCGACGTATATCTGGAAGAAGGCGGATAATGTGATTTTGAACATATTCAAATATGCAGCATCATTCACCTAACAAATTATGAGATGTTTATAGAGAACTGAAAGAGGTTTTTTAATTCAATAGGACACCCCTGTACATTATTGCATTTTTAGGTTCTCCCTAAAGAGCTGATTTCATCGATACATTACACTTGGGGACCTTGGGGTCTAGCGGACATGATTACAGATAAATAGGGTGTTCAAAATCGGGATTTTTCAACTTTGTTTTTTTTTGTCGAAACTATTTATTATTGGTCAAAACGGCTTACAGGTCCCTTTTCTCAACTTTTGAATTAATACCTACCGACAGTTAACTGAAACAAATACAGGGTGTTCAAGATTCAGAATTTTGAAAACCATGAATTTGTTCCAATTAAACGTCAGTGGATATAGTGAATCACAAGTTGAGGTACACTTGTAAGCGTAAGCCTTTTTACCAATAGAATAGTTTCCATACAAAAAAATCCTATATGGTAGGGGTGGGGGATAGTGATTTTGGATTATCGATTATCGATAATCACAATATACCGATATTATCGGTTTATCAATATTATCGATACTATAGATAGTATCAGCGATATTACCGATATTATCGATATCATTGATAAACCGATAATTTTTTATCTGAATTATTATCAATATTATCGATAATTATCGATAAATTTGACCAACCCTACTATACAAATAGTTGAAAAATTTCGGTTTTGAACACCCTCTATATCTCTGTAATCATTCCCGCTAGACTCCATGTATGATACATTGATGGAATCAGCTCATCAGGGAGAATTTGCAGAATGCAATGATATACAAGGCGTTTTATAAAAAAATCGAAGTTATTGTTACTTCCGGTTCAACCGGAAGTGACAGCAAATTAAAAATATTTTAAAAGTATAGATCACATCACGCAGTGGCTGTACCCGAAATTTCAGATTGATGCCTCTTCTGGTTCTCTATAAACATCGTATGAATTTGGTAGATGAATGACGACCCTGGTATAGATATATACTTAATATACTTCAAAGTGTACACTTCTAAAAATCATTGCTTATAGATTCTAAGTTGGATGGTATAGTAACTCGTTTTCAAGATTCTACAGGATGTAACATAAGTACGTTGAAATATTCGAGTGACTTATTCCTGAGACAGAAAGTCTGTCTATATATATAAACTTGTATCCGGAAATGATTCGATTCGGGGATACAGGATGTTGAAAATGAATTTTTTTGTTTACACTTTTTCGAAATAACATTTGCAAAAAATCAGTTATCTGCACGAAATTTGGTTCCCGAGGATTTTTCAACATCTACAGGGCGCTGCGTAAGCTGTAATTTTTATTTAAAAAAAGGTACACTTCCTCAACAACGCTGGAGGTGATCGTTTTCGAGATATTTACAATTTTCTATATCGATGCATGTTACTTTTAGCTCCTAGGGCGCTAAGTGAAGTTGCTGAGAACATTACAAAAAATAAGTGTGTTAAGTCTCGTCAGAATTAACTTTTTTTCCTATGAAATGTTTATCGAAAAATGATTTGTTTTCTGTATTTCAAAACCCTGTATCTTCGAAGTTAGGCATTTTCGGACACATGTTCATATAATTGTCTCAGGAATACGTCACTCGAATATTTTAACGTACTTATGTTACACCCTTTATATAACAAGCTAAACATGTTTTTATCACCTTCAGATCTCATTATACGTAATCAATATTGATGAAATACGTAGGTATTCAACTTCTCAAGAAAAAAAAAATCGAACAAAAAATTTGACAAAACATTCATTATAATAATTAATATCGAACTATTCATCAAATTTGGTAAAATTCGGGAAAACTGTGATGTCTCTAAATGCGTACCTAATACTTTGTATTATGGTTGAAATAAATGTTCTTACCTATCACCTCTTTTCAGATATACATCGATGAACTAAAGATCCTGTATAGTGCATGTGCGTTCGAAATCTAGAGGAACAATTAAAATATAAATTTCGAAAAAAAAAAAAAAAAAAGAACTGTATGAAAATATCAATGGACGGTGATCACAATAAACGTGAAGACCCCTGTAGTAGTGTGAATCGAATCATTATTATAATTTTCTGTTTAGAATCAAATTCAGGGCAATTGTCTGCGACTGTTCTCCATCGGGTTTTGTAATTTCTCTTTCCCTTCTTGAAGTTTTTTTCTTCTTTGTTGAAAAAATGCGCCTTTGTACATTATTGTTTCGCTCCTTCGCTTCAACGTTCGTTGGGCATGTCGATAGGTGAAGGCATAGGCACTGTTTGTCCGCGTCCGCGTCTCGCTTGGCGCGGTTCTCCCACTACGTTGTTTATACTAATAATTCCTTGCGCTAGACGCTAGTGTCATTCAGTCGGCGCCGCATAACGCCAGTCGCATCTACTGCCCACTATAACATTCTCCCACCACGGAGTTATTACTTGCGGCCGTCCCGCAGCCGCTAATCTCTGAGACTAACACTTCGCAAATGCACCCACGTTCCTTGGCCGACACCAGCCACCTCTGCACCGCGCGGAGGACTCATCACAGAGCCCTGAGCTCTAATAATATGTTTCTCTCTGGAATGTGCCTGTAAATTTGTGTCGTAATGTAATTTATGTGAACAATAAAAGTCTTTAAAGTGTGTCGACTTTCAGTCTGAAGGTCCATGGTTCGAATCCCTGTGAACTTGAACTTTTTTTTGCAACTTTTTTTTTTCACCAATGTTTTTTTACTTCATTCTGGTTTTCCTTTTTCATAAAATATTTGAAGTCAAATAGGTTAGTGCGTTTAGGATAAACAGTCTCATTTTATTCAATTTTGTTGAAGAACTCAACTTTTGAAATATATTATTAATCAATGTGTTTCTACACTCCATTCGGTTTTCCTTCCTCAAAAATATTGCAATCAGGGATAGGTTAGTTCGTTGAGGATAAATAGTCTCTGAGTTTTGCCTAAGTAAAGTACTTTGAAGATGAAATATAACGGTGGGCGTGGTATGTGCTAGCGTACAGTATATTTAGTAAAATCGCTACCGGGAGAGGGGCGTTCCCGCAACGTTTAATTTTCTCCGTTTTGAGAGCACGACTATCAAAATTTTACCCACAATGAAAGGGTTAGGTAACATTAATTTGTTCAGTGTGCCTGGTGCCATGGATAGCCGAGATGCATAACACTTTGGAGCTATTTTTTTCGAGTCTTCTTTGGAAAACAAAACACTCACCACAACCGCTCAGCAAATTCGATAATTGAGCGTTATTTCTAATTAATAACTAGCAGTAATGTGAAAAATGCAACTTTAATATTCATTCCCCATCAGGATTACTTCAGTCCTATTTATGTACACATTCTCTTTCGTGTTGAGAAAGCAATTCCAATTTTCCGGTGAAATCACAACCGTTTTTGGAAAATAGACAAGAGAGCACTACTTCATCAGCCCAATTCTCCAAAGGGAAATTTCTCAATTTTCTTACGCTAAGATCTGACTAGTCAGCTCGATTCCGCATTCAACGCAAATTTTCTCATCGTTGACGATGAAGATTATATCAAGCACGTACTTCATGCATCTAGGACACTGTTTAAGCTTATTCGTTTCCAAACTTTCATCATCGACGATGTTCACTTCTTTCTTATGGTTTTCTACCGTTGCAATTTCGCTCGATGATTCCTTGTTGTTATCCTTATATTCCTTCTTCGGGACGATAGTTATTCTGTATCTGATCTTGGAAATATCACCAAAAATAAGTTTCACGGCAGTCAGATCGACCTTCTTCAAAAACTTATTAACAGGGACATCGTCTTTCACTTTTGTATGGGGATAGCCTCTCAAATCACAATTAGAACGCATACATCTAAGGCAATGATCTACTTCGTCATATTTGCTAATCGGCTGATTTTCATATGCGACAAACGTGTTATTACATGTGCTGGACAATTTCAAATCGTATGTGAAACATTCATTGATTTTTTTCAAAGAAGCAACATATATCTCTGACAATTTGCTGCCCATTGTGATATATATAATGAACTGTTGATTACTGGATATCAAGATACTTATTAGATCTTCGTTGGGGGAAAATGAACAGTTGAGAGTTTCATAATAAATATTCCCTTTATGATAACGTTTACAGTGCTCCTCCAACTTAGGCACCTGTACATTTCGTTCACATTTTTGGTAATACATTGGACATTTAATCGTCTTGTTATCACAAGCGTCTTCATGACTTCCCACCTCTTTCCACGGAATCATTTCATTGCAATTTTTGTATATGCAAGGAAATGAGAAGAACATTGCCATATTCTCAAGAGCAATATTTCTGCAAACTGATGGCTTCTCATTGTTATTTTTACATCTTCCGCATTTCAATTCTGTTCCATCTTCGGAAAGCACCATTATAGGAGGCACTGATAAAACATTCTTACACAAGCAGCACTTCATTGACAGCAACTTATTTTGGACTTTCAATAGTTCAGCCATATTTTTCTGAAAAAAATATAAACCTATATATTACACAGACTCCAATTATAAATCAAACTTGACATTTTGAATTAATTCCACTGGTTGAGAAGTACTCCACTGTTGTTGATTTTGTTGACATAGTTATGTCGATTTGACATTCTTGTTCTGTCAAACAACATCCAAACCACGAATTCAAGTCAGCCCATAACCATTTTTAATTATTGTGTTATTAATATTAACAATACCTATATAAGTAGAGGAAACCAAGTAAGGTCGACCTTCACTCATCTGCTTGCCGGATGAAAATTATATTTTATCAAATAAAATATGTTTCTGAACATGTACCTATAGGATATATTGTCATAAAAAATATGTCCATGACAATGATAAATAAAAATTTGAAAAATTATATATATTTTTTTAATTTCACCGATTTTCTTGCCAAATGAATGACATTCCAATAGAAAGCATAAAATATATAAAATATGGAACAGCACGGTTGCCTATATTTTTCTGGTGTCTATTGCCTACATGGTAGCCATGTACAAACAGGCAAATTGATAGTAATAATTGCACCGATATGCTTACCACTCGTGAAATATATCAAAATGAAGGAATTTTCATAACGAATACAGTAGTATGAGGTTTCGTTGCAAAATCCGTTCATGAATACTGGTTGCCAGGTTTTCAAATTGAAAAATCGGGTGTAAGCCGAGGAGCATGAGGGGCACGCAGTACACTAGCTGTGCACGATGAAGCCGAAGAATGTAAGATAGGGCGCATGCTGTCTACTAATAGTCAGGAGTGTCTGCAGAAATAATCTCAGGGGAGGGCAAGTCACAATGATAATGTACAATATTCAGTAAATATCAAAAAACAGTTTTTGCACGACCTATAAGCGATATCCTAACGTATAGTTTTCAGTTCTAGTCAACTTTTATTTCTAATAATTCTCGATATTGTCGAAAATCAGGGTACTTTATTATTTGGGTGAGATTAATATATTTTGACCTATCTCGTATACGACTGATAAAATACGATATCTGATACTCGCATTTTCAGTTTTAGGATTTGCAGAATATTTAATTTTAAGAATGAAATTTTTTTCAAAATTCAACAATAAAAAAGCGCTCCATTCGTTGCCAACTGTTTCAGGCATACTGTATACATTAGCGTCTGCGGACAGGCGCAAGTAATAACTCGTAAGCAACTGGTTGGCTCAGTAAGCAGAGCATCGGCATGCCAAGCCGGCGGGCCGGGGTTCGAATCCGTGCGAGGCTCATCTTTTTTTTATTTTTTTCTTGTTCTCAAGTGATTTCTAAAAAATATTCTCTATGGGAAATAGGTTCATTTAGGGGTTTTCTATGTTTAGGCCAGAGGTGAGGTTCGGTTAGGTTAGGTTAGGTTAGAATAGAATAGAATATTTTATTTGGTGTTAATAAACATCAAGTTTTACACAGGTCAACGAAACAAGTACAGATATACTCATAAAATAGATAGGTTAGGTTTTCTCATTTTTTATGCAGGAACAATATTTTCCTTCCTCAAGAAAAATTCTCCTTCTAGAATATTTTATTTGGTGTTGATAAACATCAAGTTTTACACAGGTCAACGAAACAAGTACAGATATACTCATAAAATAGATAGGTAATAGGTTAGGTTTTCTCATTTTTTATGCAGAAACAATATTTTCCTTCCTCAAGAAAAATTCTCCTTCTTCAAGAAAAAAGGTTCATCTAGGTCGATTGATTGTTGAAAAAAAATTCCCTCCTTATATTAGTCTCGACACGGAGTTATTACTTGCGCCTGTCCGCAGACGCTAGTTACTGTATACATTTATACACTCAGAGTGACGCACTTGATATTTGACCCATCTTCTTAAAAAAAAAATAATAGTAGGCCGAATTTTATTTTTTTTTCATTTGTTGGTAGGTAATGCGTCTTTAAAAAAAAATAAAGAGGTGAACATTTTTTCAAAGCCTCCTTGATGGTGGTGGAATAACTCGAACCATGATTTATTCTTAATTTTTAACTCACCCTGTGTGTTAATTGAGTAATGGTATACAAAGTGCTTACACCCAATACGGAAGAGTCTTTTCTTGCGAGCATTTTGTTTTTTTATTCATTGATTTATCTCTTGAATTTTCCGAATAACAGCTTTTTTGCTGATACCTTATGCTTATCCCACAAATTGAATTTATTGAAGGATCAGAGTACTCAAAATTGATTGGGTTGTACTCTGGTAGGATCACTTTGTCTTTAAAAAAACAAATGCCGTTGCCATAGCAACTAATTTGTTGTATGCCTCCATATTTGACCATTTGTCGTTGTGTCATTAATTAAGTGTCTTGTTTTATTGACTAACATTACATAAAATGCCTCAAATGAATCCTGAACAAGTAACAAGATTTGTTGCGTCAGTAAACGATGGGTGTAGTAAACGTAAGGCCGCTCGTGCAGTAGGAGTTCATGAAGCAACTGTTCGTAGAGCAATCCGCAAGTACGAACAAACAGGAAGCACCGCTTGGAGGGTCGGTTCTGGTCGCCGTCGAAAAACTTCTCCAAGAGATAATTGCTTCTTGAGATTGCGGATTTTACGGAATCGATCAAATACTGCGGTAAATGTTCAGCAAGATAGTCGCCAAATTCGTGATGTTGCAGTAAGTAATCAGACGGTATGTAGACGTCTAAAAGAAGTTGATTTAAAAGCTAGGAGACCTGCAAAAGGTCTCAAATTATTGCCCGAACATCGTGCTGCTAGAAGAAATTTTGTTGAAAATTATGGACAGTGGAGTATTCCTGAATGGTCGAATGTCTTGTTCACGGATGAATCAAGGTTTTGCCTCAACATGGTGGATGGAAGAAAAAGAGTGTAGAGAAGAACTGGTGAACGGTTTAATCAAAATTTAATAACAGAATGCGAAAGTTTTAATGGTGGGTCCATTATGGTATGGGGAGGGATTTCAATGAATAGAAAGACACCCCTTCATGTTTTTCCGGTGAGGTAGTCGATGAATGCCCAAATTCACATTGACATTTTAGAGCAGTTTGTCTAACCTTATGCAGAGTTAGTGGGCAATAATTTTATATTGATGCAGGATAATGCCCGACCACACACCGCAACAATAGTGCGAAACTTCTTAGAAGCTACTGGTACTACTACATTATATTGGCCTTCGAGAAGCCTCGATATGAATCCTATAGAACATTTATGGAATGAATTGGGGAGAAGGGTACGTTCTCGCGAGAGGTCTCCGGAAAGTATCCCAGAAATGGCAGATGCATTCGTGGAAGAATGGGATCGTATACCAATGGAAACGATAAACAACTTAATTTCCAAAATGCCTCGTAGATTAGAAGTTCTTAGAGTTGCTAGAGGAGGAAATACACGGTATTAGGCAGTCATCCCAATTTATAATTTTGTGTTTAATGAAAATGTTTTTTAAAATTATTGGCATCAGTTTATTTCATTAGAAAATTGTTTCTCGATAGATTCAGAAAGTTGGTAATCTGCAAGGATTCAGCAAAAAAAGCTGTAATTCGGAAAATTTTAGAGATAAATCAATGAATAAAAAAACGAAATGTTCGCAAAAGAAGCATCTTTCGTACAGGGTGTAAGCAATTTCTATGCCATTACTCAATTAACACACAGGGTGAGTCAAAAATTAAGAATAAATCATGGTTCGAGTTATTCCACCACCATCAAGGAGGCCTTGAAAAAATTTTCAACTCCTTATTTTTTTTAAAGACAAATGCATTCACCTACCAACAAAAAAAAATTGAATCGGCCTACTATTTTTTGTTTTTTGTTAAGAAGATAAATCAAATATCAAGTGCGTCACTTTTTTTGGAACTGAGTATGTATTTCATAACTTCGAGTAATATATGAAAAGTATTCAGATGTGTCCAATCATTTGACATCGTGAAATATCTTCATTTGTTGATATTGTATCAGGTACTATTATGTTGAATAGCATATTCAGCAAACATAGTGATAAATTTATTGCAAGAAAAATTCCGGGAAATGTTTTAGCCGAGAGAGTACCTATTCTGTATACCCTGTATTACCGCTTTTGTCGGTATAAAATCGCTTATAGACCGTGCGAAAACTGATTTTTTTTATATACAGGGTGTTCCGTGAAGACATGCTAATATTCAAGGGGGTGATTCTCCAACTCATTCCAAGAAAAAAAAACTTTCCACTAACGCATATCCTAAAAGTCTTAACATTTGGGATAAAGGGTGATGACGATTTTTGACAAACTCAGTTTTTTAATGGTAACTGGAATAATATTGTAGTCATCTTCATGAAATTTGGAACATATCTTCTATGCGTCAAGGTCAATTTTTCGATGTATACAAATTTTCCTTTTCTCTACCAGTGGCGCCGTTAGGAGGATATGATTGATTATATTATACTTGAGAGTGAGTAACGAAGGAATATTTCCAAATTCAATAAAATGCTATGAAAAGTCATTCAATTTTGTACTAAAAAGATCTCCTTGTTGATACCCGATAGGACGCTTCGTTTTCGAGAAAAAACGAAAAAACGAGATCAAACTTCAAATTTTGATGTAAATGCTAAGCTTGAGTACTCCATTCAGGACAGCTATTACTGGATAATCACAGTATGTAACATTTTGGAATTTCTGCACCGTTTCAGTCACATAGCAGAATAAATTTTGCCATCAGGAAAAGCTATACAGGGTGGACAAACAAAGAATCTATGTATATGTTCAACTTGTATCTCAAAAGTTAGGACGTTTACGACATACGTTCATATGAAGTTGTGTTCTTGAAATTGGTCCAAGAATCGCCCCCTCGAATATTAGCATGTAAGGAACATTCTGTATACTGAATATTGTACAGGGTGGCCAACTAAGACTGCAAGGTACTGTATCTGGGAAACTATCCATCGTAGGGACTCGCGGCAAAAAATTGACTAATACGCCCAAAAGAGAAACCTGGAAAATATTTTCAAGTTTCTCAAATGACCGCTAGGGTGCGTAATTGCAATC